GGCACTGTACTATGTGCTTTACAATTATTATTTCATTTCATCCTCACAACAACCCTGGGAGGTAGGGGCTATTATTATTCCCATTTTACAGATGAGGAAACAAACAGAGGGAGACAGAGGTTAAGCAACTTGCCCAGAATCATACAACTAATAACTGTCTGAGGCCGGTCTTCCTGACTCTGAGTCCAGTGCCCTATCCACTGTACAACCTAGGTGCCCCTAGGGTACATAGCTACCACTCAAGTCACAAAGTTTACTACCAGGATTCAAACTCATATCCTCTATTCCAAATCTAACACCTTTCATTGTGCCAAAATTTACCTCAATTTACCTTTAGGGTAGTTTTGATGATCAAATGAAATAATCTATGGAAAGTGATTTGTGAACTATACAGTAGTATATTCATGCTTGCTATTATTATTAAAGTCCATGTAACAGAAAGATCTTCGTCGCAGAACATTGTTCATTTGATTAGTATTCCTTTTCTCCCAGTGTTTGTCTTTATGCCTCTAAAGAAAGAAAAGTTTTAACTCTTGGTCCTATAATTTTGATCTAATTGCTGATTGCTATATTTTTTCTGTGTTATAAATATATAGGCATATGTGCATAATGTGTGCATGGATATCCTAATTGTATTAATGAAACACACTTGGTGTGAAGTAGGTTTTATGCTTACAGAACCTCAAGTGTTATTAAAAATACAACATAAAAGACTAAGTAAAAGGAGAATAATTTTTATTTTACCCAACCCTCTAAAATTCCCTCCCTTATCTTGTCCCCCACCCTCCTAATCTTATTCTATATACCCTTTTAAAAGCCCCTACCCTACCCTATTATCCAGTTTTCTCACCTTTCTAAAATTTCAGAAGACTTCTAAACCTCTTCAAGACTTACACTGTTTCCTCTTCAACCCAGACGAGAGTAAGTTTCCAACATTAGCAGCCTTCCACTCCGACCTATTTCCTCTGTATTAGTTCTTCCTTTCATGTCCCATTTTTAGGAGCTCCTTTTTGCCTTTTCTTGCCCAATTTTGTTTAGAATCATCCCACCATACGCAACTCAGCCGCAACCGTTATTTCGAACTACCTTAGTAATGTTGTTTTAAGAATACTGATAATATTTTCATTTAAAAATAAAACTTTTAACCTTTATCAGTGCCTTATAATTAGTCTAATGATTCCCTTATATTTCTTCTGGATCGTTTATAATGCATTTTCCATCGAGTTCTGGGTTTTATGTTTGCTTGTTCGTTTGTTTTGTTACAAATACCTGAAAGTCTTTCAGTGTATCAAATGTCCATTTTTCTTCATTTAGAATTATACTCAACTTTGCTGGATAAGTTATTCTTGGATACCACTCCAGCTCTTTTGCTCTTCAAAATATAATGTTCCAGAACTGTAGTCTTTTAGTGCAGAAGCTGCTAAGTCATGTGAAATCTGATTGTTTTTATGCAGTATTTAAATTGGTTTGTTCTTGTTGCTTGCAACATTTTCTCTTTAAGCTGGGGATTTGGAAACTTGGCTATGACATTCCTCTAAGTTTTCTTCCTAGGATCTCTTTCAGGTGGTGATCAGTGGATTCTTGCAATTTTTGCCCAATAAAAATTATATTACAAAAATGCCCATTTTAACACAAAATAAAACACAAAAGATTATAATTTAATAATCCATTAGCTTGCTTTCTCATATAAGAATTTTTAGTTTAAAAAAAAAACCTATAGTGAGATCCAGCTAACAAAAGGGTAGAATTAGATTATGGCAAATGGCCTGTGAAAAAGAATTCCCATTGCCTAAGGATTCAGAGTTAGAAGTTGATCATTTTAGTGAAGATGACAATTTGGAAAAGAAAACAACATTTCTTTTATATTTTTAGGAAATTTAAGGAATTTCTCTAAAAAGACATAAATAAAATTAAAAATTAATGCATCTCACATCAGAACAGAGAGTGAGATATTATTCCTTTTCGCACATATATCGAAATACAATTTTCCTTCCTTCAGGAAACATAACTTAGCTTGAACAGATTATAGGGAGATTTCTACATCAGTTAGAATTCTTACAATGAGAAAAGTGCTGGGTTTGCAGTCAGTGAACCTGGATTTCATTCCTATGTTTACCAGTTACCGCTCAACTTCTTTGAGACACTCATTTGGCTCATCTGTAAAAAGAGAGGTTTGTACTAGACTGAGTCTCTCTTAGGTTCTTTCTAACTCCAAATATCTGATCTTGTGATTAGATAAAATTATTTAAAAGGAATGTCCAAATGCTATAATTCTTTGATTCTGACCTATGATTTGTGTTAGTTACAATAGCAAATACCTTCTGATAATTGAGATTACCTAAAACAGGAGCTATTAACCTTTTTTTGTTTCATGACCCCCTTTGGCAATCTGGTGAAGTCCATGAACCCAATATCAGAATAAAGTTTTTAGGTGAATAAAATAAAATATACAGGATTACAAAGGAAACAATTATATTGAAATACAATAACCAAAGAGAGAGACAGAGACAACTCATAGAGTCCATATTAAGTATCCTTAACCTGAAATAATTTGTTAACACAATTTTTCAAGTTGTTAAAAAGCCCATATTTTTCCACCAGTTGAAGAGACAACCATGGAATCCAGTCTTCTAGTGGAAATGGAAACCATCGAAATGGGGCTTCTTTGGGCATTCACAAGTTACTAGAGGAAAGTACAAAATATGTCTTGTACAGAGGAGAGAGTTTGGACATAGAGGAATGAGTTAGAGAGATTTCTTCATATTGCTATTACTTGCAATACAGCAAGGGAGAGGTCCCAAAAATTATAAATCACAAGCATTTACATATTCTACGTATTAGGGTTATATATTTAAAAGGCCTTTTATTATGATTTATTTCTCATATAGGCAACTGTGCCAGATTTATAAAAATGAGAGCCATTCTCCAATTAATAAATGATCAAAGGATATGAACAGGCAGATTTTAGAAAAAGAAATAAAAGCTATCAATAGCCATATGAAAAAATGCTCTAAATCACTAATAAATAGAGAAATACAAATTAAAACAGCCCATCAGATTGACTAACATAACAGAAAAAGAAAATGACAAATACTGGAGAGGATGTGGAAAAATAGAGACACCAATGCATCATTGGTGGAGTTCTGAAATGGTCCAACCATTCTGGAGAACAATTTGGAACTACACCCAAAAGGTAATAAGATTGTACATAACCTTTGACCCAGAAATACCACTACTATACCTGTACCCACAAAGACGTCAAAGGAAAAGAAAAGGACCTATATATGCCCAAAAAAGTTTTATAGCATCTCTTTTTTGTGGTAGGAAAGAATTGCAAATTAAAGGGAATGGCTGAATAAGTTATGATATATGATTGTAATAGAATATTATTTTGTAAAAAAAAATCATGAAGGGGTTACTTTTGGAAAAACCTGGGAAGAATTATATGAACTGATCAAAGTGAAGTGAGCAGAACTAGGAGAACATTATACACAATAACAGCAATATTGTAACAATAATCAACTGTGAACGACTTAGCTACTCTTATCGATCCGTGACAATTCCAAAGGTGTCACAATGAAAAATGCTATCCAATTCTAGAGAGAGAACTGACAAACTCTTGAGAGCAGAATGAAGCAGATCTTTTCCACTTTATTTTTCTTGCTTTTTTTGGCAACATAACTAATGTAAAATATGTTTTGCATGACTTCATATGTCATATATGTATTGTATTTCTTATCTTCTCAATAGGTGGGAGCAGAGTGGGGGAAGGAAGAAAATTTGATACTAAAAATGAAAAATTTAAAAATTAACAACTTGAAGTGAATGAATTGAATGAGCAAATGAATGAATGAGTTGATAGACAGATAGATACCCTTTAATCAGTTCATCCTACATAACCCAAATGATAAGCCTCAATGTCTAATATCCTAGGTCCTGTAAATGAGTAGACCACAACTCACCTATATCATGGCCAAGTAGTCAGATGAAAAGTGGAAACTTTTGTCAATCTTACCTACACAATGTGACATGTCCAGATATTGGAAAATGACAACATCTTTTTTATCATTCTTAGGGAATAAAAGATGACTGATTGAATTTTTCACTGTTCATTTAGATGATCTGGTATCATTTAGACACAGTCAAAATATTAGTAAAGGTTTATGTAATTTCTTAAATTTAGAAATCATTTTAAACCATTCACTACTGAAAATTTCAATTGTTATTAAACCTTGAAACTTAATTGAGTAGAATAGACTTTTGCAATAACACCTGCAATAATATATATATATATTATATATTTATATATATACCTTTATATTTTATACATTTATATATATAAAATATATATATATATATATAATATATATATATATATATATATATATTATATATATATATATACATATATGCATGTGAAAGCAGGCAGAAGACCAAATTACCAGCAAATAATTTCCACTGAAGATGTTTTTCATGTATTTTTTCCTAAAATATGCTTCTTATATAATTTTCTTGCTCTGCTGAAAGAAGCCTGTTGAAGTGAAATATATTTAGAAAACATTTCACATATGTGTGCATGTGTGTGTGTGTGTGTGAATGGATATGTGTGTATATCCTCACAAGAAATTTTATGAGTATAAACAAAATATTTTTATAAATTTTAAGTCTTAATTTATGGTGTTTGTCAAGGTCCTTGGATGCTAAGAGACTGAACTATAAGCCTTTGAACTTTTACTAATATTTGTTTCAAATATGTGTTTTGGTAAAATCTAGATAAACATTTTCAGGGAATGATTGCATCCATGAAATCAATTGATTAAGAATACTTTAGCAATCTGATGACATTAATAATTCATTAATCACTATCTTGATTTCAGTTCATAGAATTATTAAAATGACATTCATCATGTGGCATTTGAAATCTCTGAAAATGAAATCTTGCCTTTTCATCAGGGCCACAGAATTTTCATCTTAACATTCTCCTTTTCTTTTTCATTTAGGAAGAACCATTTGTGATGGTGTCAGAAAATGTTTTGGGTAAACCGAAGAAATACCAAGGTTTCTCCATTGATGTTCTGGATGCCTTATCTAATTACCTGGGCTTTAACTATGAAATTTATGTTGCACCAGATCATAAGTATGGGAGTCCTCAAGAAGATGGTACTTGGAATGGGCTAGTTGGAGAATTAGTGTTTAAGGTAAGGTTTATGCACCTGAGAGGTATATTAAAAAAAATAGTAACTATGATTTCCTTCTAATTTTATATGACACAAAGATAGGGCTGGTCATACATGGTTTTATTCTAGAGAGTAACATATCAAGGATTGCTCTGTGGATGATTATGGAAGTGATAATGGCTAACATGTTGAAGCTCAATTTGTAGATGCTCTGGTCAGTCACCCTTTAACTGCATGCAAGCATTTATCATTCAGTCATTTCAGTCATGTTTGATTCTTCATGTCTGAATTCGGAGTTTTCTTGGCAGAGATGTTGGAGCAGTTTTCCATTTCCTTCTCCAGTTCATTTTACAGCTGAGGAACCGAGGCAAACAGGGTTAAGTCGCCCAGGGTCATACAGCTCATAGGTTTCTTAGGCCAGATTTGAACTCAAAAAGATTAGTCTTCCTGACTCCAGACCCAGCACTGTATCCACTGCACCACCTAGCTGCCCATGAAGCATGCAAGTATAGAAACACCCTACATATTCTGCCTAACTGCAGCTCAGTAAATAAATGTTTGCTTAATAGAACTGAATTGAAGCAAGTTGAAATTTCTCCAATGTGTGAGAGATGATGAGGTTGAATTATCTTCTAAAACAAAAGACAATCTGAATGAATATACCTCCAAATCTTGATTATATATTGGCTTAAAATCAATTTTTTTCACATGATTCATCTTTCAGTACTTCTCTTCTCCTGTCCACATTCTGGAGATTGCCTCTTGATAAGCATCTCCATCGGAGGGTGAACAATGAAAAGTAAAGGAAATTTTAAAACAAAGTTTTGCAATTTTTTAGCTACTTTAAAAAAAAAGAAAGATAAAATAGAAACTATTTACTAATATGGAATTTGGAAATTCTCTGTGCATTGTGATTATATTTGTTATTTCTGCCTCCTACTCCCAAAGTTGGATATATATCTACATGAAGAAGGTTTTGATAGCTACCACTGGGAAGTACATTTGAAACTTTAGCATCCAAAAGAATTCTTTTTTACAGCTGAGTGGGATTTAACTGTCTTTTTTTTAAATTTTGAAGTTTTGTTGATACATTTTGTTTTTACATTACAAATATTTGTAGATTATCCCTATTAAGAGATATCTCGTAATAAAATAAAACAAGTAAAACTGAGAAATATAGTGACTTCATACAAAAGTATATGCAGCATTCCAAATGTATGCCCTCTACACACATGCACACCTCTTTATTAAAAATAATTAACAGAATCTCTCCCTCCCACTTTTCATCCCACTAGAGAAAAAAAGAGAAAAAGAAAAACAAATTCCCTGTAACAAACAGACATAGTCAATCAAAATAAAATTCCCTTATTGGCTATATGCAAAACACATGTATCCTATATACATATCCCTTCTCTCTAAAGAAGTATATCATATGTTTCATCCTTGGTCCTTTGAAATCATGGATTGTTATCACACAGATCATAGTTCTTACAGCTTTCAAAGTTGTACATCATTGCAGAATTATTGTTATTGTACAAATTGTTCTCCTGGTTCTGCTCATTTCCTTTTTCGTCAGTTTATTAAAGTCTTAATTTTTTATCATAATAATGTTCTTATATAAATTGTTCTTCTGGTTCTACTTACTTTAGTCTACATCAGTTAATATGTGTCTTAGCATATCTCTTTGAAAACATTTATTTCTTATAGCACATTAGCACTCCATCACATTCAAATACCACAACTTATTCGGCCATTTCTCTACTGATGTTCATCTCCTTAGTTTCCAGTTTTTTGCCACCACAAAAAAAGTGCTGCTGTAAACATTTTTGTACATAATCTGTATCTAAAGTACTTAGTGGAGAGGAGAAAATACTTGGTCTCAAATATAGCCTATTCCTCTTCTCTCCCCAAACCATGCTAGCCTGTTTAGTATATTTCCTATCCTTTCTTCATGTCTACCAGTCTATCTCTATAGAAGTACTAAAGCCTGATCATTAATTGTTAAAATAAAGAAAGATGAGTTATAAGACAGAATTAACTTAAAATACATTGAATGACTGAGCTAAGACAGCGTAGTAGAAGCATCATTTGACAGAGAATAAGGTAGACTGTGTTCCAGTCCTGGCTCTGCCATTGGTCACTATTTGACTTTGGGCAAGTTATTAAAGCTTGCTCTTTAACATTCCATTAAGTTTCACAAAAATCCTTAACAAACTGCTAATTCAACTGGCATATGTCTTGAATGATAACAGTAGGTGCCTGGCACATAGGAGATATTTAATAGGAAGGGCTTTAAAACCCCTTAATCTTACTGTTATAAATAGTGAGGTGCAGAGAGGTTAAGCTACTTCCTCAAAATGACACATAGTCTCCATTATAATACATGAAGCACATCACTACAGAATCTGGTCCTTTGAAGATCAGTACTTGAGTAAAATAAGAAAGTATACAAACTGATCCAGAGATAGGGCTAGGCCTCCACTGCTACATCTATGAGAAGCTCCCTGGCATCTCCTCTCACCTCAAAAGAGCTACCCATGAACACTATCAATCAGTGCTTCAGTGCATAAGTGTATATTTGCAAGCAATTTGGGGGGGGTGGGGGAGGGGGCGGGCGAGAAGGGAATGATTCATTGAAAAGGGAGTGACTTTTCCAAAGACACTGACAGTTCAGAAGACAGAAAAGGAACAAGATAGCCTGATTCCTTATCTCTCATACTGCCTTTAGGCTACATTACAATTTCCCTCAGTTAATGTAGTCTTAAAATTCATGAGGGCCCAGGTCTGGCCAAAAGGTGTTCCAATGTGAAATTGATAAAATGTGCAAGACGTTCTGTTAAGGAGATATTTTGGAAGACAGAGCTAAAGTGAGTGAAAAATTATTTTCCTTTTTTTTTTTTTGAAGGGGAAAACAGAAATGGAATTACCAAAAACAAACTTCACACAGGGGCAACATATGTCAGTTAAAGAGTGATGTAAAGAAAACATAATAAAAAACAAAAACATGAGTGAAAGTATTTGAAGATCTGTTTTGTGGAAGAAGGATTTTTTTTTCCTGCTTGGTCCTATAATGCAGAACTAGGAGAAATGGTTGGAATTTGCAGAGAGATAGATTTGGGACTGAATAAAGAAATCTTTCCTAATCATTTTCCCCTCTCTGATTATCTGTTTGCAAATATAAATGTTGGCATTGAACTACTGATTCACAGTGTTCATGAATAGTTCTTTTGAGATGAGATCAGATGCCAAAGAGCCTCTCACAAATATAACAGTGGAGGCCTAACCTTATTTCTGAGTCAGTTCAAATGCTTTCCATTTTACTCAAGTACTGATCTTCAGGAACTGGATTCTGGGATGACGTGCTTCATGTATTGCAGTGCAGCGACTGTGTCATCTTAGGCAAATTGCTTAACCTCTCTGCACCTCAATATCTATCAAAAATGAAGACTGCCTTCAGATGTAATAGGTCCCCACCCCCAATCTCCATCATTTGTGGTCTGCAAACAAAGCCAAAAGAAAAGGAAGGACTAAGGATTTATGAGAGAAAGAGACACAGAGACAGAGAAACACCAAGAGAAAGAAAGAAATACAAAGAGAAAGAGAGAAAAGAATTAATAATGATAACCTCATTTTAATTCCATATATTCATAGATTCCTAAGAATTGGAAGCATTTTAAAATGTTTGCCATTTATTATTCACATGAACAGGGACAAGTGACAACCTAAGTCTTATTTTTCTCATCTATAAAAGGAGATGGGTTGAACTAAAATCATTTGTAGTTCTAATTAAATAATTATATTTTAGGGGGAAATAATTATGCACCTTCTCTTTTCCAAATTTAATGCTTCCTTCTATACTTGTTCCCATTCCTTCCTGCTTTTTTTTTTTTACTTCACTCCATTTACCTTTAATCTCTCCTCTACTTTCTTTATCTCTACTTTTTTTTTTGGCTAGGCAATGGGGTTAAGTGACTTGCCCAGGGTCATACAGCTACTAAGTGTTATGTGTCTGAGGCCAGATTTGAATTCAGGTCTTCCTGAATCCAGGGCTGGTACTCTATCTACTGTACCACCTAGCTGCCCCCCCATCTCTACTTTTGATGTGCTCAGATTCTCTAAAAATATTTTTTTACCCTGATAATCCTTCAAATCACCATCATTTATTTTCTCCATTATTTCAGCACCAGTCTTCATGAAAGTCTATTGTAATTCTCTCTATTTCCATTACTACCCACTGATTCATTCCTTAACACCCCCAAACTATGAGAAGGTCTCTTCAAGCCCTTCAAATCTAGGATGTTTCTCAATTTTTATGCAGTTTCTTTTCTTTTTTTTTTTTTGGAGAAAATGGGGGTTAAGTGACTTGCCCTGGGTCACACAGCTAGTAAATGTCTGAGCCAGATTTGAACTGAGGTCCTCCTCACTCCAGGGCCAGTGCTCTATCCACTGTACCACTTAGCTGTCCCCTGTTCTGCAATTTTTAACCCTCTAGTTCTTTTAACACTAACTCTTCCATTAATTTCCATGATTCTGTCTTGTCTTGATTCTCTTCATTTATGGCCACAGGATCAAATTTTTCCTCATTTCTCCTGAATGTGAATATTGCCCAAAACAAATTGCTGGTCATATGTCTCTTCCTTCACTCTTTCCTTTGGATATCTGATCCAATAATATGGCTTCAACTATTACCTTTTTGCAGACACCTGTTACGTTACATCTCTAGTCATATGCTTTCAAAAAACTTCACTCCTACTGAAACTGTTCAAGAACTGCGCACTTCTACCTCAAATTCAGGTTGCATACATCATCACTTCCAATTCATTGTGTACAAAATAAAACTTCTTTTTCCCCCAAATTCAAACCCACCTCTGGCCTTGTTATTGTTTTTTGCTTTTGTTTTTTCTTTTATATTTTATTTTGAACTTATGGAATAAAATAAACATTCCTATAACAGTACAATAAAAAGATGATTGCATAAGAAACTGCAATCTACTATATACAATTGCTGTTTGTTTCAAATA